AAACAAACAGCCTCCCTTTGAAACATGGCTCGAAGACATGCAATAAACCCCAGCAGTGCTGTCTATAGTTAGGCCTGCAGAACTGCACTGATATTGCTCAATTAGCTGTGAGAAAAAATGCGAGCAAAAATGGAAAATAACCTAGAACAAATAGATTAGGTCTGGAGATACCAGTCATAATATTTTCTTCCTTCCTGTATTCTCCCAGCCTTACTGCTCTCCTCCCCACCAAGTATTTGTACTAAAAGCAGATTTTCCATCTTCTCTCTTCCCAACTAGCAATCTAAGAGGGGAAAAAAAAAAGAAAATAAAAAAGAAAAAGATTTACAATCTCTTCACATTCATTAAAAAAATTTTCCAGGCACAATAAACCCTGTGGGCATGGAAAAATATAACAGCATGTCTTCGTCAGGCTTGAGGTTGCTGGAGAATAATCAGTAAAATATGTTCAGAAATCAGAGGAAAAGCATGAAAACATTTCAGAGGGAAAAAATCCCACCAAATGCTGCAAAAGGATTGTATTCGGATGGGGGAAGGAAGACTGGGGAAACAGGGCACAGGACTTTTCATGAGTAGAAAGAGTTACTTAATTTGCAGAAAAATCTACTGCAAGCAGCTTTTCCTTCTAATCAATGAGGTGCATGTATTACATGGAGTGGGCAGCTGTGCCTTGCAAAGAACCCCACTGATGCATCTTTTGATTCTGGGAGATCACACACGTTAGCGTATACTGAAGGAAAACTCTGCACCCTGCAACTTTAAAGGTTTCCAAAATAATCACCTGAGCAGCAGAGTTCTTTGTGGTACACTGTACTTCTAACCACATCAGGAACACACATAAAATAGACCAATAAGGATGTGAAGTTGGCCTGGCCAGATACAATGCACAGCTCCTAGAGCAGAGCTGTGTTGTTGAAAAACATCTGAGTTCACATCCTCCCCCAGTTCACCTTGTTTGAAATTTGTGACCATTTCTATGGATAATCTTTCATCTTTATGAACCACAAAGATCAACAAGTTTCAAGTAAACTCAGCTGGTGAAATGTTGTCTGTGTTGGATTTCAACTGTTAGTTGTGAATTCCTGAAGAATTACTCATAGTCACCTTCATGATGCCCTCCTTGGCCCTCTGCCTGCCTCAAGTGCTAACACCCAGCAGAGAGCCAGTGAGCAGCACCGACCCTTTGAGAAACCAGAGACAAGGACTACCATAGCCCCTGTGTGGTGTCTTGGGAATTTCCTATGCCCAAAGGATGGAAAGCTGGTGCTTTGCCAAAGAAATCTTTCATGAAAATTGACAGGTTAAAGACATTCCATGAGCTGACAGCAGCAGTAAAATAACAAAAGTCCTGAAGACAGCGAATTGTTTTTTCATATTTCTTTTTAGTAAATACACAAAGAACAAAATGTGTTTTCATTAAGCTCGTGAAATGGCATGAGGCTTTCCAATTACTCCAGACACTGTAGAAGTTCAATAAGTACTGTGAGTTATCAACTAGAAGAATTGCCATCACCAGCAGACCAAGGACCTTTCTTGTCTTGAGGACAGGACCTATGTAAGGGAGGAATAATGGTCTAAATATCTAGTAACAGCTATTTGCAACTAAACAACAAAGGTATTGAAATAGATAGATAAACACAATCTTACCTGAGCAACAAAGCATTGAGATACAGCTCAGAAGAGCTTATGTCAACACTCATTGGGCAAAACTCTTTTCAGGATAATGACAATGAACAGGTTCAAAGTGCTAAAAATAGCTCCAGGTTTTTTTCCTAGTGTGAAGAATTGGAACCAGAATCAACTTCTTCCTCTTGATGGGAAATACACTGTTTTCAGGTAAAATTAGGGTAACTGCAGGTTCCTCCCCACTTTGCACATTGGATTGACACTCCTGCCCGCCCAAAAAGGATAAAAAGCACCCCAGTCATGTCAAAAACCAGTCACCGGCATGATTATACCCTCAAGTCTAATGTAGTTAGTACACTGTGATATGGGCAAAACTAAAACATTCTTCCCATTAACTGCTGCATTAGTAGAACATTATAGTATCTACAGTTACACATTATGAAGAATATCACAGACAAATTCAGTGTAAAAGTCCTCACTATGAAAAATTAAGTCACAGATGAGGAAATGAGTACTCTCCAACCCACATGGTTACGGGTTTTCCGGGAAGCACTTCGAGTCAATTCCCGAGTAGAGAAAGGCGTTTTGAAGAATGTAAATCTACTTAAGAGAACTAAATAAGGATGTTAGCTTTGTTTCTTTTGTCCAGGTGAAAGGCAATCCAAAAGGCCTTAAAGTGGCAAAGCTCAGGAAACAGCTGATCTTACCATCTGCACTGGTGAATAACCAATTTACCTTTGTCACCTAGAGGAAAAACCGCAGCCTTTTAGTCACAAACACAAATCTTAGGAAGGTTGGAGAAATGAAGAAAAACATTCCAATCTAATGATCCATCCAAATAGGACCAAATAGAAAAGGGCCGTCCTCACTGCTATGTTAATTCAAGTATTGCCTCAGCCTACGCTCACAGACAAATCCTCTGCTTAAAACAAAGGTACTGTAACTCTGAGCGAGCTGCCCCAGCAGCACAACTCAAACACGGGGGATTCTTGCCCTGCCAATGTAGCAAGGCCTTAGCTAAGGCATATCACTAACCTGGTCACCACTGCACAGCTGTAAGAACATTAAAAAAGGAGGAAAATAAACAACCCACAAAAAAGGGCCACACTGAGTCAGACTACAGATCATCTACCCAGCTCTCCTGCCTCTTAGTAGTGGCCAAGATAAGAATGTTACAAGAGGGCAGGCACGGAGGGAGCAGTGCTTCTCCAGAACACTCCCTTAGCTGCCAGCAACAGCAGCCTGGGGATTTCCTAAGCCAAAGGTGATGGTTTTGCACTTAATAATCCTCTGTGATTTTTTTCATCAGTGCAACAAAGCAAACTGAATAATCCTTAAGTTCAGATAACTTCATCATCATGGCTAGGCTTCGCAAACAAAGATTTGGGAAGGCTCTAACCACCTTTGATACAGGCACGCTGGTGGCTTATGAGGCCAGACATATCCGACTGCAAAAGGCACAGCAGAAAGACTCCTTAGATGGTGTATTCTGCAAGACACGGTTCTTTCTGCGTTGCCTTTTCTCCTCGAGAGTGATCCTGCGTGTGTTCTCAAAGGAGACAGCAGCGTTATAGATGGGGTGTCTCCAGGCCTCCCCATTGGAGGCCAGAGCAGACCAGTTATGGTGATCAATATGGCCAAGGCTGAGATGTTGTTTCAGGGAGTCCTTGTATCTTTTCTTTGGGGCTCCTCTAAGGAACTCAAAAAGCTACAAGAAGAAATAAAGGTAAAGGACTGGCAGGCAGAGTTAGGAACTCAACTGTCCCTGGCAGGAAGAAAAAAAGAAAACCCTTGCACAAAACTTTTGTCAAAGTTTTATATCATCCACTATCCTTCGAAAATCAAGAGTTTCTCAACAAATTTTCTTTTTCAGTTCATACAATTGAAAGATAAGAATCTTACAGGCAGAGCTATTACTCAAAAGTTCAAACATATCAATTAAGAATGTAGATTCTCCTACACTGGGAAGAGGCCAAATGATGGGTTTTTTTTCATTAAAATATTTCAAAAGGATAATTATTCTTTTGCAAACTCAAATATTTAGGGTGATCCTAACTTAGCTGGCGAGCCATTATGCTTTGGTTGGACTTCAGCACAGTATTTACCATTCTGACAATATGTAAAAGGAAATGAAAGCTTTCTCATGTTTTCCAGGCCTACAGAGTCTAACAGAACTCTGTGATTTAAGAGAACAGCAGTGATTTGATACAGCCGTGCTAGACTGAAGCTATAAACGTGTAACAGGGCACAGCTCTTTTCCAATTTCAGAAGTTTCCTTGATTTCTTTTCAGCATTATGCTTTTCAAGAAGCAGACCAAGAATAAGTGTTTTCAAGTATTTTTATTTACTTTTTTTTTTCTAGACACTCCCTAACAGCAGAGAGGATGAGATCAGTAAACGCAAACCTAGTCCTGGCTATCGATGCTAGAAATGTGGGTGCCATGAAGCTCCAAATAAGCTGCTGTGTTTGTGTGAAGCTCTGTTGTGTCACTGTCCTATCACATACCAACAAACCTTAAGATGTGCTCTGTCTCTCCAGCTCTAGGAAGGGGAAAGCAGCTGTCCTTTCACTGCTTGCTAAAATTTCTGGACTGAAGAGATTGTGTTAATAGTGTAGCAAGGTAGAGGTAAAAAAATAAAAAGAAAAAAGGTTGTACCATCATCAGGGAACAATTTTATTATCTCATTCTCCTACCTGCTGCTGATTTCCAAATCTACAATAATTTGTACAGACAGGATTCCTGCCAATTCAAGACAGTATTAGTTAATACTCATTTCCCTCTGGTTCTTCATGAAAAAGATACCAGCAACAATAAGAACACCACTGCTAGCTACATTCCTAACTGCAGAATGACTTCAGTAAGTAAATTAACATCTTAAAAATTATAATTCAAAGAACCAAACTTTTTCAATATATAACTCCCAAATACTGGATGGCTTGACACCTGCAACAGATGACAATTTTTACTCATTATCACATCATAGTGGATTTCAAGATCCTAACGTTAACTAATTCTTAATAACTCCAGAAAAAAAGTAAAGTTATTTTCATACTGGCCAAAAATTATCATTTACAGCATTGCTATCACTATTTGATTTAAGCATTATCCGAGTATTGAATTATTAGCAGTACTAATTTAATGCGAACTGACAGGGTGCAGTACAAAACTAGCTCTCCACAATACAGTAAACAACTGCTCCTTAAATGCGTTCATTACAAGTTCTTACTCTCCCTCCCTGTCAAACCTAGCTGACACCATCAGTCCTGCTGATTTCAGCAGGACTATCACACACGAAGGAATGTGCAGATCTAGACCCTTCCATCCTGATTTATGAGAAAGAAGCACGAGTCTAAGCAGGAATTTAACACTTACGCTTCCACAGTTGTTCTTACAGTCTGTTCCTCACCATCTTCATCTGAACTGCTACATGTTGCATCAGAGTCCAGGTCCTTCTCCACGCGAGACAGCAGCCCTCCAGTAGAGAGTGCAAACCCCCGGATTTCACCTGGTGCAACGGTAACTCCGTTCTGTACGTCCACACTCAAACTACTCTCCAAAGTAGTTGCATTGTTTTCTGGCCAACCTTCAGTGCACCTGAGGGAGTTACTGCTCAAAAATCTGGTTGGCTCATGGAAAAACTTCATTCTCTGAAGCTGATGTTTCACGAAGCATTTCAGCTGCTGATCACAGTGCTTGATAACATGCTTTGCCAGGAGCATTTGTAAACGCTTCTGAGTTCTTTTGGCGCGACTGATTTCCATTTGTTGCTTAGTGACACACTGGAGTAAGCGAGCATACACCTCCTCCTGGGTGCAGCTCAAAATCCCTTCTGAAGGCCCGTGAAGAATTTGGTATAATAAATCCCCTTTTATTGTTTCAGCGCAGACTTCCAAAGCCCTACCCAAAAACCCATTCTTCTTGTACCATTTACCATTTAAAAGTTGCATTTCTTCTGCATTACTGGATTCAGTTACATTTGAATCTGAGAGTCTCTGTGTTCCTGCTAAGTTCGGAGATGCGGCCTCTGAAAACATTGCCCCTTTGACCTGTTGCTCAGGTTCTGAGTGACTAATCTGACCAAATGATGTGTCACCACCATTATGTAATGCCTTTCTCATCTTGGAGCAGCCGGGCTCTCCTGCTTTCATGTGCTTACCAGTTTTGTTGCTAAACGCAGAATTTGTACTCATTAACAAGATAGACTGATAGCGCTTGGAGGCTGGTGGGGAACCAAAATGCTGTACACTGAAGATATCATTCCTGAGGTTGGGCTCAGCAGTGGGGAACCCCAGGACTGAGCAAGTAATCTGTGCGATGGAGTCCTCTTTTATCTTCTCTTCCACTGCTCTGGAATTTTCCATGCACAAAGCTGTATCAGACTCCATAGCTCTAGAGGACAAAGAAGGTGACAAGTGGATACCATGATCTTTTGTTGCTGCCTCTCTGAGGGCTGGTGTCATTATATCTACAGTAGGTAGTTTACAGCAAACCTGAAAATAACATGGGCCATGTAAATTTTCTCATTTTCATGACACAGTACAAATACAACTACACTCTTAGACATTCCATTCTTTCAACATTTCATCATTATTCAAAGATTCCATAAAAAGGATGTTATCTAAAGAACACAGACTACACTCCCTCCCAAGTCAAACAAGAACACTCTCTTTTTATTTCATTCAGAGTTTTTCCACGTGCAATGAAAGCCTTTACCTCTCAGGGGAGTAACTGTTCATACCTCATTTCATTTCTGATCCTATCAGTCTGAGAAATAAGACTCAAAAGTTCAGGACTGTCATCTCACCTTGCCCAAACTGAAAAACACGACCATGAACAACATGACTGGCACTATTGGGAGAAACATATTTACTGTAAATCTATATAAAGCAAGCATTTGATTAATTATTATATATTCTCACAAATACACACTAGAAACCAATCATCAAGGTTAATGCTTTCAAAACACAGAACTCTAAGCTCTAAATGTTTTCTAAAAAAAATAAAAAAAAAATCTTTCCCATGCCTTTGTATTCAGTTTTTTATTCATCAGGCACTGTCTGTGCAATTCAAACAAAATATTTTTCATAACAATTTGAGAAAAGACATTTTTCTTTACAAGTCCTTTTGCCTGTGGTTTGCCATTAAATGAAGGATTCCCAGACTTTGAGATCAAAAGACCAGCTTCAACCTTCACCCCTTCTTGCCAGCAGCTGTGCTGCCAAGTCATACTGCATCTGTTCCACAGCCTACACAGCAGGAATCACTGCTTTACACTGTACTTACAGCTTTGTTTAGGAGATGGTTAAAGAAGCCCAGTGAATGATTTAACTGAACATGGCCTGCAGAAGACTGAAAGATAAGTTACGGTCAGGTCTTTGTTAAGAAGCTAGAGACAAAACCAAAAACAGTAAGAGAGCAGTAGCAAATGTGAGTGTAGCACAGTAATGCCACAGTACATTCTCTGTTGAACCACTGTACTGTTTGTGCAGCACTTCCACTGCACCACTTTTAATGTCTCCAGTTTCTCTGATCTCCACAGTAACTGCCTAGCTCAGCAATTTTTAATGCACAGATCTCATAAGGGGTCAATGATTCCAAGACTTAAGGTCCACATATGGACCTTAAGAAAAGCAAACTCCTTGTCTGAAGCCTTATCTTGTTTATAACTACAGACTTTTTACACTGAAGATGTGAAAATTAAAGGGAGATATGGAAACCTAAGGATCTGAGAAGTACCAGTTTGGAAACTTGCTCCTTAACTCTCAAAACATGAAGAAAAACAGAGAGCCACATGCTCCAGCACTGCCTTACCTCTCTTGGTATGCTGTATTCACCTTTCATTCCTCCACACGTACTTCAACCATGAGGTTCTCATTCTCCGTACATCACCTATCCAGCATCACCGGGACCAAGTTTGGTGGTCACACTGCTAATCCTAAATGATACTACTAAAATCCCCAGGATTTTAACCTTTATCAATAAGCCAATAACTTCAGCCTACCAAGGAATCAGAACAAAGCCCTCCCAGTGGACAGCTGTTCAGGAAGAGCCCCGTTCTAGGATCAGGAAATGCACTGATGAGTGCTGGAACCCTGAATCCTAAAGGCTCTGATGACTCGGTAATGCTCTCAGCATCTGGTTAACTCATGGCTTTGTGTCTTTCCATTCTTGTAAAAGCCAGCAGGCCCAAGAATTTTTAAATCCAGAGGAGTATGGACTCAGACACTTATGCCTGCCTGCCCTCAGCATATGGCAAATAACTGTAGTAAGTCAGAGCAATTTAACACAGCTAAAACATAAGGGGGAATGAAGTGAAGCCCACAGTTCCTCTGTAGGGTTACTCTGAGCTCAGGAGTCCCCATGTTTGATTTGTCCCTTGGAATGTCAAGAACCTCTCCCAGAAGAACATCAGCCTGGTATCTACATACACCGAGCAACCAGTTTATAACTGTTCAGGTTTACTGTCCACATCCCTTGGTCTGAGTGGTTTAACAGGCAAAGGTTGCTACTCCTGAAAATCAGAAAACATTCACATTGAGCAGAGCTGCTGCTCAAGCAAACAAGAAGTTTGGAGATGTGGAAGACATACCTGCATGAAGATGGAGAGGCTATTCAAAAAACTGGCAGCACAAAAATTACACAGTACTGTGTTTTAACTTGATCATATTCCCTCAAATATCACATACCCTTCTGGTACAGTTTCAAATTTCCAAAACTGCAATGCATACCATTAGCAATTTTTTTTCTTTGTTTTTTGTTTAGTCTGGGGGACTTCTTTCCCATTCTTTTAGGGGAAAGAGAGGAATAAATCAAAGTACCATCAAATGGAACCACAAACAGTAAACTAAAGAGCTCTGACAAAACACTAACTAATTAGGAGTGCCTGACAGAAGACGCTTAAATTACAATATAGCTAAAAAATAAATAAAATGCTTTTGAATAGGGAAATCGCTGAATTAACCCCTTGCCCAGCAACTTGCAATCCTCACAAAATGTTTCTGCCCTGAGGACAGTCATGTGAGACATTCAGGTGTGTTCACCTCATTTCAGACTATAGACTAAGACTACATAAAAGCTGTGACTGTTCCCGTCTCCCGTTCTTGGTATTTCTCCAAGAAGTTCATACACACACACACAAAAAGTCATTGACATATGAGCAAAACAAAGAATCAGCTGCAAAAAAATTATAAACAAATTTTAGTACAAGTACTTGGCTCGACAAGAATTGTACAATTTTCATTTTGACACATTTTATTTCATTTTGGCAGAAAGCTGCAAAAATAATTTCACTCCACCCTTATTGGAAGTGAGTTTCCAGAGCCAAACCTACTACCTTTGGGGGGGAAAAAAATAGAAATAAAAGCACAGAGGGAGGGAAGACAGGTACTGCAAAATGGTATTCTGGAAGAGACTGTATTTGCATTCTGCAAAAAGCTTTTTTGTCATAGGTAAACCATTTCAGGAACTTTTTCCATTGTGCACTAGGTGAGGTTTCAAAACCAGAACAGCTGAAATGCTACTAAACTGGCAAACAGTTTGCCTTTCATCTGCTGAATACACACTCCACTTAAAAGACTAAAAAGTATTGCAGAAAGAAAAGCTGACATTAAATAAGTACTGGGGAAGGGAAGAAACAAGTACCAGACATGCACAGTACAGCAACTGATGTTTAAAGTGACTTTATGCTTATCCTCCCTTAATGCCTTAATTACCCAGGAGGATATAGCTGGGAACTGCAGTTTATCACAGCCCGACCCCGCACCCGGTCCCTTCTCTCACCACACCTACAGGTCCCTAAGCCCTCAGTGACTCCTACTCCTCTCTCTCTCTCCTCTCCCCCTGCTACCTTTGCTGATTTCTTAGTCCTCATTTCTGCCTTATACCCTTCCCTACCAGGTTTACCTCACCAGAATTTGCCTAAATCCTGAAACTAGTGTGTTCCTGTTGGTGATTATTGCTCCCTATTAAAAGAAACACAACAAAACCACCCACAAACCTGCCAGCACTCAGGGTGGCATTCTCTCCCTTCCCAGCTTTTGTTTATGGTCCTTTCACTTTTTGACTTCCCCCCCTTGCATAACACTATCACTTTGGTTACACAACACTGCAGACAATGTTCTGGGGGATTTTTGCTTAGGGAGAGGATTGCTTTGTCTTCTAGTGGATTTTTTGTTTGTGATCTTTTTGTTTCCAATGACAATAAAACTCCACTTGCATGGGCCTTTGTAAGGCTCCTCTGTACCAGCTTTCACTCCTTGTAAATTGAGTCATCTTTCCTCATCCCAAACACCTGAAATTTTCTTGATAGTAATGAGATTTCTGGAGACTAGGGTAAGATTCTTATATTTCTTATTTCCTTTTGCTTTGAAATTCAAGGGCCTACAAATTAATATGGCTATTTCCAGTTTACTCACAGATTACCAGTGTTTCAGATAAGCCAACTTCCACTGTTTTTACCTTGTCTAGAAGGCATTCCAAAAGCAAAGACAAGATCCTGGCAACAGACAGCATCTGGTGAAACACCAGAAAATTAAGCTCAGCAAGAATGCTCAAAAATACTCTACTGCAATTTTCAATTTCGAGAGGCTTTAAGGCCTCTTAGAAACAACCTGCAGAACAGACAGCGCCACACAAGCAAGCTTGATCTGCCCTCAACACAACTGACAGAACCTGGTTTCCTACAGCTTTGTGCTGTTTGCCCTGTAATCCCTGGCTCCTCTTGGAAAGCCTTCCTGATAATCACAGGACAAAAATAAAGTGCTCTGGCAGACGGGCACTACTGCGGCACTGCCTCAGCCAAGTGCAGTGGGCAGGACTGACCCTGCCCAGCTTCTCCAAGCCTTGCCTGGTGGGAGGCATCCCCTGGGTGTGCTTTAACTACCCCTCCCACTTTTCCTTAAACCTACAGGATCACAGTGATTTCTTAGAATAGAGAGAGCAGCTCAGTAGCACAGTCTGCATTTCCTCACAGAACAGTTTGCAGCAACTACCGCAAAAGAGATATTGGGCCCCCTGGGCATGTCCTCGTTAGAAGTATCAAAGGAAAAGGAAAGAAATCCATATTTAACACACCTGGGGCTACCCTTTAAAAAAAAATCATCTCAGTAGGCAGCTTTTGTTTTCAGTTCAAAAGCAGCCCAGTTACTCATGACATGTATTTAAGCATTTTAGTATTTTGTTCTATTAATAGATTGGAAGAAAAAACATAAACCCGAACAGGATTATTCAGGGAGTCTCAACTTTCAGCAGCACTCACTCTGTAGGCACAACTATCCAGACAAAACTCCAAACTCCAGTTTTGTACACTCCAGAAGATATAAGCACAAATTCCTCCTCTTTGGCCAAAAACCAACACAACAAAACACACATGCACACACCCCCTAAAAAGGATCTCTCTTTGAACACCAAGAGAAACCCATTTAAGACAGACCACCCAGTTCCAGTCATAAAAAAACCATCAAAAAAAGGATGTACTTCAAGTGGAACTCATTAGAATTCATTTATGATAAAATCCGTGACTCGGGGTTGTTTTTCTCCCAGTTCATGACTGCTTCCAAACAGAATCGGGTGTACCTCCCAAGTTTACTACCACAGCATCAACTAATTCCCGTTCAGTCTATAGTACCATTTACAATGTAACATCTGAAGTAATTTCAACATATGTTAAACACTTCTTGTATTACAACAGGTGCATCTGTAAGTAAGTTGTACATATGTCTCTAACAAATATCAGCAGTACTTTCCAATCCATCATGAAGTCCATACCAACATTTCAGTTCTCCTTTTGAATTTCAGCCTTTGAGGAGAGGGCCATAAAACCCTGTCTTAAACAAAAGACACTCAACTCTTAGACATTAATTAAGATGATTGGAATTTATACTCCCCAGAACATTTCCCAGGATTTCATAACATGGACTAATAAGGCAGGAGAGTCCTAAGGCACACAGACTGCTTTCTGAGGTAGTACATCTACCAGGCTTTATCTGGTTTAATTTTTACTATTTCCTTTTTATTAAAGCAAGCAGAAAAAGGAAGTATTTGCCTTTTGACAAAAAGCACACTTTAATAATTTGGATTTCTTTTTTAATTGGCTCCCATTGGAAATTGCAAATCCCCATTTTTAATTTGCTTCCCATTGGTGAGGGGTATGGAATACCTCAGTCATTGCTACTTTTTTTTTTCTGTGAGACACTTCAGAATTTTGCAAGCAGGGAGCTTGCAAAAAAGCGCACGGAGAGGCTTGCTCAAGATCACACAAGAAATCTCAAGGCAGGCTGCGGGACACACCTGGATCTGAGCTGCTCCCTAGAGCTTTCCTAACTACTTTATATCAAGTATCCAGCTCTGTAAGCGGTCTGCAGTCTGGGAAGTCTCGGCCCGGGTTACTCCGAGGCAAAGGAATCTCTGTCGGTCGGTTCAGGTTGATTACCAGAGAGAAGTTTTGATCCGGGATTTAAATCCCGGGTGGGACACTCGTGGCGGGCGTGGGTAGCCCCGCCCCCTCCCGCGCGGCCCCGCCCCGCCTCAGCGCCACCGGCCTCCGCCCGCCGCGAGCACGACCTACCACCCCCCCACTCGCGCAGCCCACCCGCCCCTCCCGCCGCTGGGAACCAACCGCCGCCCGGCCTGCCTGCCCCCCGCCTCCCGCGCCTCGCCGCCCGCAGCCTGCCCGCTGTGCCCCGCGACCCCCGCTTCCTCTGCACCCGCAGGTTCTCCGCAGCGGCCCGCCCCGCCGCCTTCAGCCCGCGACGAGCGGCACCCGGCGCGGCTCGCACTGCCGATGTGAAGAGTCCCGCCCCAGCAAAAAGCGCAGCGCGGCGGTGCGGGAGGGTCCCTCGCTCCTCAGGGGGAGCCGCGCCAATCCGGCGCGCCGGGGCGGGGCCCTCCCGCCATTGGCAGGGTTCCCGCCTGACGCGCAAATTGGGCGCTCCCCCGCCCCCTCCCTCCCGCCGCGCCGGGGCTGTGAGGGAGCTGAGGGGAGAGCGCTGTGCCCGCCGCGGGAGGTGCAACTGTAACCTCTAACATGTGAAAATAACTAAAAAAAACCCATAAACACACTAACCTGCCTAAATATTTCCGAGTTATTATGCCAATAAAAGAAAAACACGTTCACCGGCATTATGTTCCCTCCCTCCGAACTCCCCCTCAGCACCCTGAGGTGAACACGGGCAGGGAGCAAGCAGCCCGGTTCCCCCTCGGGCTTTGAAGTAACGTAGACAAGCATGAGATTGCATAGAAATGCTTTATTACGTTTATTTGAACAAACTAATTAAAATAAGGCATTCCGGGTTAGATGTAAACATAAGGGTCAGCTGCACAGCGGGCGGCTGCTGTGCAGTGAGCAGGTGTATAGCAACAATAGCGAAAGTTTCAAGTTCTACTTCTCAAGGGGAAATACAAATTCAAAGTTACATTAACATTTAATTTTGTTTATTAGTTAAGAATATGACTCCTCTGGAAATATGATTCTGAAAACTGAGGGCTGGATTCAAAACTCTTGAAACAGAGTACTCCGTGTTGTCCAAAAACATTTAAAGTTCATTAGATATTAGATATCCTGCATATGAGCACCCTGGTGTTACTAGTTGTTCTTTTTTTTAAGTGTCACTTCATTTAAAGAATATGATACACCAAATTTATTTACCTTACATTCTGATGCCTGATTTTATGCCATATATTAATATATAAAAGGATTCTCTGAGACTCTCCAAAGTAGTAAGCATCTGCCCTACTTGTCACTGACAATGTCTCTAGCAATAAGTTCTTTCATTATTTCGTTGGTACCACCATAGATTGGCTGAACACGGGCATCCACAAAAGCTCTGTGGGGGGGGGGAAACAAAACAAAGCAAGGAAAGATTAAAAACACCTCCTTGGAATGGACATACAATCAAAAGAAAAACAGTTGTTTTATCTTTGAAGATCCCTCTTTTTAAATGCAATTCCTGTTGTTAAAGAGGTTCATATTTTCCTAGAGGCTTTAACTGCCTAAAATATTATAACTTTGCAAAGTGCTGTGAACCAAACCGGGAATCTCCTAATTCTGCTTCACTATAGAGAGAACAGCTCAGGAGCAATGAGACATTCCCTGGAAACATGCATGTTGCTGGACCATGCTGATAATAAAACCCTGTATGGGCAACTACTGCACACACAGATAAGCAAGGATTTGAGGACACCCTGATCAAGACTTGCTGTCCTTCCTTTAGTAAAATAGGCTGCAGAACACTCACAAATTACATTCACTGAAAACACCTAGAAACAAGTTATTTTAAAGCAATATTTTATACTCTTTAATGAATTTAAAAAAAAATCTAAACCTACTAATTAAAAAGAATACTTTATCTATTTATGACAACTGCACAGCAGTCCTTGTTTTGCTACTTCTACCCCCTTTGTTGTTTTGGGTTTGTTTGGGTTTTTTTGTTTTTTTTTTTAATAAAATCAGCATCAAAACCTCTTACTGTGGCAAATGGCACTAATGGTGCACAACCTTCACAGATAATGCACAAGGAAAAAGACAAAAATTTCCTGTCTCTAAATTCATAAAGTCAGCAAAAAATTGGGAATGGCAAATTCTTCTTTCTGCATAGAAATCTCTTAGCTTTTCATTTTAAGAGGTGTAAAAAAGCTGAGTGTAGCCCGGCATGCCCTTGATTCAGCAAGTTGATATCCTGTGGCATTATACAAGACTTAGACTGTATCAACATTTTCTTTTCTTCATACATACGCATTAATTTCAGATAAAATATAAAAACTAGCTCCTCTCATTTTTGTTTTTACGGTTTTCCTTCTCTCTTTTTTTCAATTAATATTTTCCTCTAAAAAACCCACTCCTATTTTGTGAAAAAACAGGTAATTGCTGAACAGCTTAAGAGTTATTTGGAGAATCAAAACAAAGCCTTCTTGCAGACATCCGGACAGTAGATTGCCTTTCAATAAAGACGATGAGAAAAGGAACAGTAAATCACTACTAACACTAAACAACTGATAGGGAGACATAAAGGAAGTGCCTCATTTGACTTTGCTGGTAATCTTTCATCATGCAAGTCTGAAATGTTACACTTACTTTGCAATTGGATACTCCCACATGTACCCCCATCCTCCATGCATTTGCACACACTGAGTAGCTATGCTGTTTTGGAGATCAGAACACCTTAAATGGACAAAAAGAAATTTGTTTTTAGAAGGATGTTATGCTGTGAAACATTACGAGAGATATGTTAAGCCAAAAACATAACATGACTAGTAAGAAATAAATACTGTTCAATTTAATGTATTCTCTTCATCAAACAGCTTTCAGAGAAGGAAAGGTTTCAAAACATTCAGGCTTGTTCACCTTTCTCACAGGCCAAGAGATACCTTTTGTGAAGCACACAGATACAGTCTCTCTTCTTACCAAACCCCTCAGCTTTGCCAGAAATTAGGAGAAAAATCAGGCTTCCCCCCCACCCATTCCCACTAGCAACACACTAGGATGTTCTCTGAGCATAACCATCACCTGGGGATAACTACATTTCCTCATAAATTTTAGAATCTTCAATTCTAAAAAGTACTGTAATTCTTCTGGGATTTGATCCCTGTAAAATATGGACTTAACAGCAAAATAAATTTTAACTGCACTGGAAGCTCAAGCCAAAGTTACAAGACATGAAAAAACCCACTTTCTAAGCATACAGCTTTCAGAGTGGCAACAGAAGGAACAAAAATGACAACTCAAGTCAACTGCTTCTCATGGAAGAATGTAGGAGTCCTTTTCTCCAAACCATCCCTTCATTCAGTGAAATCTTTACAGTTTATTATACCAACTTTAAATCTGCAGCAGTGAGTTACTGCAACTGTCTTTCCTATATATTTTCCCAAATTAATTTAGGTATGTTACACAACCTATCACCACAAAAAACCCCCTCCAAACAACCCAGCAGATGTTTCTCCAGATGTAAGAAAAGAGATGCACAAACCACATTTTAAAATCCTTCAAAGCTTTAAGTCATATCACTGACTATACCAAAGGTTTGAAGCAAAATTAACTGGACAGAGTCTCCTGACACACTAGGGAATAAAGCAATTTTATATTCAAGTATTTTCTAGACCATTTAAGAAATTTTATGGAAGGGAGCCACAGGGACTCCACTAGTGAAAGGGGAAATCCACAAAAAATCATGATGCTAAACAGTTTGGGAAAGTGAGGGAGTTTCAAATGCCTTGCTTTGGGCAATTCGTTGATGAAGTAAGTTTGCGTATCTGAGCTGGCACTCGTTGTTTCCTCCTCCTCAAAACTGAATGCCTCTGCTTATGTACTTGATACTTCTAGGTAATCAGTGCCAGGAATAACACTCTATCAAAATCCTTCCTTCTACTGTAAATATTCTCTCTGGATCCCCTCAGCATTCTCTGCTCGTTTCCTCTATACTTCGTTTTAAAAGCCTAAAACCTGTAAATCTGTGCATCTTCCATAAAATTATTTGTTCGTTTGTGCGTTTTTCTCCCCTCTTGAGTTTGCAAGCAAACTCAAACCATCCAAATTCATGTGCCACTATCTTAGATGTTTCCACTCGTCCAGATTTCTCTGGTTAAACCTAAGTTAACAGATAACACCACCAAGTACAGGATGAGGGAGGAGCAGTTCTGAACAACAAAGGAAAGCACTGTTTAGTCTCAGTTACAGCGACAGCCGTAGCCAACTATTTCTTCCCAAAACCCGACAGCTTTGGAAACTGGCTGCACCAAACAGCTATTGCTAAGTGACATTGACTAAAAAGTATCATAGAGCTTCAAATATATTCCAATTTTGCCTTTTTTTTTCTTTATAAAAGGCAAAACAAGCCTCATACCCCATTAAAAACAAAACAAAACAAAACCACCAAAAAACTGCTGAACCCAACAAACATTGAACAACAATTTGCTACAGTAAAATGTAAACTTTGTCTAAATACCAATGGAGAACTCACACATACTTGAAGCTAAAGCTGAATCCTGACCTTGTTATTAATAGAAGCCTATTTCAAAAGCATATCTTTATTTTGAAATTGATCTGTTTAACCAACACTGGTTTTCAATGTAACTAACATTTTTGCTGAGCACATGAGTAAAGTTAAAGCTAGTGGTCTCTTTTAGAAGCTGACAATGTTGCTTTAATCAGGCAGTAATTTTATCTTTTCATGAGTCCTTAACAGCTCAGTGTTTTTATCACTAGACTCCTGGCAAGATCATGCAAGTAACACTTCCAAAGGACTGTAACTACATACCAATACTTTGCCATAGAAGCTGTGGCAGAGTCCAGGCGTTTATCTGCGTGGAGCTGCAGACAGTTGTCCATAAAGGCTCGGGCCACACAAATTTGCGTTTTTATTTCTGCCAACTTGTGCTGTATCGTCTGGTTTTGGAATTGGATAGAAGGGGCAGAGGAAAGAGAGCAGAAGTAGTACAGTTTAACACTTCAAGTAGAAAATGAAGCATTTTCCAGAAGTATTTCTGTTAGAAATCACTATTTCAAACAACTTTGGCTCTGTACACCAGAAGACACCTTACTGTCCCTACAATTATGTCTTCACCAGTCTTATTAGAGAAAAGTACCGCCCTTTACTTCTCAAGGTCAACTCAAAACATGCATTTAAGAGAAAAAGCCATAGAGCCTGGCAAACAAATTCCTAGGGAGCACAGAGCAGGAGGCTCTGGGTGTTCCCTCTTGTGGGGGAACGTCTTTTCACTCTGTAGAGCCACGGATTTCCCCAGTTAACAACAACATTTCACCATCTATTTAATGCCTTCCTAAGCATTCTTCAGAATTTCAGTCACATGCAAAGAGACATAAGCAAAAAATAAAAGAAATTTTAGGCCAGCAGAAAGTTTTTCAGCACTGAGTTCTGTCACATTGGAAAAGAGTATCTAGATAGAAAAGGAAAAATCCATCATAAGTGTATTAAAACCAGACCAGGCAAGCTTCAGACCATCTTCTTGTAAGTCTGGTAGGGAGAGGATAAAAATATCAGCCAATAACAAAAGTTGTTTCTAAGCTCAGTTCTAGAATTGTATTAAAAAAAAAGATCATCTTGCTTCAAATATACCAGACCAGTCTACTATTACAAAGATAAGATTTGATTTCAAACACTGTAAAACAGCATGAGTAAATAAATTAGCCAAGGCAGAGCTCTAATAGAAAGGATTATTTATTATATGCATGCTCTAGCCAGCAGTAACAAAAAAAGGAAACTGAAGAGTTAAGCAGAAATGTATTATTTTGGTAAAAATAATACACTTTATGAGGTGGTTGGCAGTGGCCTAGCCTAAAAAAAGGAAATTATTTTGGAGAGCTCTGCATACTGAGCTAATACAAATAAGAATCATCCCTGACCTACATTAAAAAAAGGTAAAATATATTTCTTTTGTGTTAAAGTTGCATGGTGCTCATACTAAATTCCATCTGAAATTATGGATTCCTGAATGTTAACTTTAGAAACAGACAAAGATCATAGTCTCCTGAAAGATACCTGGCATTCCAGCCTCCAAAGGGCCCAGTTCTGGTGCCCTTCACAACTAAAGACTTGATTTTGACAAAGGAAGTCCCAAGACATAGAAATGGATTTTTTTGTTGTTGTTGTTGTTAATTATTTCAAAAGTATATTAAAAATGAGGCAGCCAACATCCTTAACTGGTATGAGTCACTTCTATCCTATAAACCCAATGCAGGAGCTTGGTCAGGAAAACTGTAATATCACAATCCTGCGCAAAGGAACATCTGTTTTATGACTGCAGCTAAAGAGCGTGGGCACAAACGTCTCAAAACACAGTTACCTACCCCTGTCAGGAGTGAGGTTTGCCCACAGAGCATAATCCAACAGTTTTACAGGCAGTCACACAAACACCCAACTCGCTGCTGGCTGAGGAATCTCATTACAACACCCACAAAGCCAACAAAAACAACACAAGCACCTCTGCAGCACCTGGGCAGCAAGAACACTGCTGGGAGTCCCCACCAGCACCAGCCTCTAATGCCATTTCTCTGCAATGCTCTGTGTGCAGAGGAACACAGTGCCTGCACAGGCAGCCTCCAGGATTCTGGGCAGATACAGAAACACAGGCAGGTGTGATGGACCCTGTGATTATGACCTCTGGCAGTAAAATGCAAGCCTAAGAGCAACACGGGAATTGTTCTTCACAGCAGCAAAGAGCCAGTATAGTTCCTGGTTACATATTTCCCTTCCAAAAGCAGTACTGCTGGGAGGTATTTACCTCAGTCATAAAATACATACACTAAGGCTTTTCTGGTGCTGTTTTTTTGATTATTTTGCTTCTCAAAAATGAATGATGGGCACAGAGGCAACAACACAGTCCAAACGTGAAACCCATGAAAATAATCCTTTCAAAATTTTGATTTGTTCACTATTTCACATACACAGACGTACAGGAAGCATACACTGGAATTTGTATACAAGTCTCTCAGTTCAAACTCACCTGCAAGTGTGCAATTGTCTTCCCAAAAGCTTTTCTTTGCCTCACATAATTTCTTGTTTCTTCAAACATGAATTCACAGCCAGCCAGAGCCATATCAGCAATTAGAAGTCTTTCCTTTTGGACACAAATGATGTGATTCAGTTGAGTTATCCTACATTTCTCCACACTAGATGCACAGTCGGGACACAGATGTTCAGTATTGTTCATTAAGAGAGGGGAGGCAGAAGTCACACAAAATATCCAACCAGACAACATTGCATTACTGAAATTAGCAAGTGGGATGAACACCTTGCTGCCTAAAGCTCACTTTTAGGTCTTAAGACAGGGTTGTGCTCTATCATGATGACTCCAAAACTAGCCACAAATCAACCACAGGACTCTTACTGACTGAAAAATTCACATGAAATTCTGTTTCTGTTATTGGTTTTCACTGTTCAGTCTAAGTAACAGCTATATTTGACAATTTCAATAGGATAACTCTAGAAAAAACAAAGCCTACAAAACCAGCTAGTTTTTCCTTCCTCATAACGTGGTGAAAACCAAAAACTAAGTGCAGAACAATTGCTTCTGGCATCACTGAAATCATCTGATGATTACGCTGAATCTGTTCATGAGTGTATCTATTTCTTTAAAGCTGTAATGTATATTTTTTTGATCAGGTTTTGTATTTACTGACAGTATAAAATTAAATAAATGTGATCTCTACCAGATGAGACAAATGCAAAGTCATAGTTTTGACAAAGCACAGTCACATTTTGAAAAACTACATTGCTTCTTTGTCCTCCCAAATAGTTCCAAAACTTCATAAACTAAGTCGTAACTGGCAAGGTATTTTGGCAGCTAAACGATTTTTTCACTTTGGAATATGAACAGAGTTCCATATATCTTTAATATGCTTCTACTGGTGGAAGAGCTAGAACAGCAGTGCTTGTTTCTTTTTTAAAGAGAATGCCAAATGCATCAGAGACCTCCAAGCTATATTTAATTTACTAACCAAAGTGGTTCCATAGTAAAAGTACAAAAGGAAACTGTGGTATGTTCCGTTTAATACACTACCCTCAGGTTCTTCAATAGCTGGGTTGTTGATTAAAAGATTAAAATTAAAAGATATGGCTTTGACCTGGTAGATATCAACATTTTTAAAATGCCCAAAGAATTGCACTTCTAGCACTGCATAGTTCAGTTAAAAAGCAGCAGCATCAACACAACATTGCCTACAGACATCCTGCTTCAGAGTCCAAGGTGACTCCTCACAATACATAAACTTCAAGACTAAGTGACAAAAATTGTCTTTTTATTCTTCCCACAGACAGCAAGCACTCACATTCCTCTTACCTGAGGGAGCTCTGCCATCAGATAGTAGAAGCCTTTGTTCTCTTTTCCAAGCAAGGCACTGGCTGGCAACCGCACATCTTCAAAAAACAGCTCTGCTGTGTCCTAAGAGGATTTGAAACACAACAGTTGATAGTCTAACATTGTAATCTCTTCGTTACACTTCTTTTGCCCTATTTTTTTTCTTGTTATTGTACACTCTAACACGAAATTATGGAATTATTTAGGCTAGAATGATCCTCCAGAGGTCATCTAGTTTATCTCCTATTCAAAGCAGCTCCAGAAAAACAATCAGCTGAGGGCCTTGCCCTATTTATGCGTTCCAAAGCTCCAAAGATGAAGGCTCCATGACCTTTCTGGGCCCCTGTGCCACTACCCGACCACTTCCATGGTGAATTTTTTTTCCTAATACCTACTTAGAATTTTCCTTAATGTAACTTATGTCATTTGCCACTTTCCCTTTCACTTTGCACCACAAAGAACCTGGTTCCACCATCTCTACAGCCTGTCCTTCCAGGTTCCCTCAGAGGGAACAAACCCAGCTTCCTCAGCGTCTCCTTGCAGACCACATTTCAGACTTCCATAGGCAAAATGAGCAGACATACTCTGCATGGTTGTGCTCTAAAGTCTAACAACTAGAATAAAACCACAGTTCCATCTTATATTTATTTAGCCATTGCTAGGCATTAAGTGGTTTAGGCTTCCTCCAAGTCTATTCCGTTAGGGGCCGTATGAACTCACTTGAGCTTTCAGGCCAATTTTGTTCAGCTTGCGTCCTTTGATGAAGCCTTTTGTTCCATTCTCCACCAGAAAAAGGCTGATCCCATGAGCAGGGGATCGGGCCTCCCGGTCTGTAACCGCAACCACGATCACGACATCACTCATCCAACCATTAGTGATGAATACCTGTAAAAAAGGCAGCTTGGAATAAAGCCATGGACTATGTGGAGAGAAGTTAGGAGAGACCATCAAGTAGCAGAAAGCAAAATTACACTGACACTTTCGCAGGTGAACCAAAAGGCAAGGTTCAAGCGTCCAGAATTTTAAGGTTTCTCAATTAAGTGTTTTGGAACAAGGCAGACACTAGTTTGAGAAGTATTATGTGGGGCAGAAGTGTCAAGTCACAGAATGCACACATCTGTTTCTTTTTCTGTCCCATGACAAAGAAGAATACAGTATCAAATGTAGATATTAAATGAACACAGAGATTCTCTTGTCTACAAATTAAATCAGCAAGGTATAATGCACAAAATTATCAATGACTTCTTGTCACTACTGCTTACTATAATCCTGTAGAATGACTCATGGACCTGCCAAATGGATCCATCTTAACTCTAGCAAAAGAAATGAGCTTCTTGTCCTGCTTGGCTTCAAATGAACAGCATGAGCACCTTTTGAGCACCTGTACATACATATTTGCTTGCACACACTCTCATCACTGCAGTTCTGCTAAGGTCAGAAGTCTCCATCAGTCTATGTTATCAGCAGGGGTACATAAGAAGATTAAGACATTTCACAGCTTTAAAAAAAAGCTCTGTTGAACCCACATTCTATTTCAACGCTATTCCTGCCTTCTTGCTTTTTTACTGCAGCAATGAAAGAAGAGGTTAATGCTTTGCAACAGCTTTACAACACACACAGAGCATCTGATACAGCTGGTTTTCTTTTTTTTCTGCTAACATGACCAGCAAGCTCCTGAATAAAGATTATGAAGTTTGCATTGTGGCAAAACATGTATTTACTCAGGCCACAGAAGATTTCACAAGTAGTATTGCATATATTTTATTTTTAAACCTCAGTATTAAAAACCAGCCTTGGTCCTGCTTATACTGTGCAGCACCTTTTTTTCCCCTTTTATTCACAGTTTAAGAGAAAACAGCCCTTTTGATAGCGTTACTGAAAAGCTACAAAAATAATCTAAACAAGCCCTCCCATAACTGGTCTGTAAATTGCCAGTAACAAAAACATCTTAAGATCTATTAAAAAAAGTAACTGAGAAAAAAAAAACCACCCACAACATAACCCACACAAAAAACCCCAAACCAAACGCGAAGGGACTGGGAGGAGATCCTAATTGTGGTGCACACCCTGGTGCACTGTACTGGATGCATTCAGTTCCCAAAGCCTGTATGTCTGAGCAGCATGTATGTCTGTGCACTCACCTTACTCCCATTAAGAATCCAGTCACTTCCATCTTTTTTCGCATATGTCCGTACTCCCTGCAAGTCACTGAAACGAAATTCAAAAGGTCCTTCAAGAAACCATTCTGGAAGCTGTAATTTTTATCTTGAATTCTAGCCAGTACAAAATAAGGTAGATTTTATATCATCCAGGCATGGGCTCAGTGAAAACAGATGAGGATAGTGAAACACAGTGAAACAGCTGAGTGTAACACAGAACCACAAACACGCTGTGGAAAAGGATGATAAATCTATGCAATCATACAGGAGCACAAGGTCCCATTTTCCCATCTCTGCTTGTGGGAGGTGGTGTAATACAAGCATGGGTCAGCATCCCCTCAGGTCAATATGCCTTAAATGACAAATGCCAGACAAAACCACATCCTCTAAGCAGGCTCAGTCCTGATCAGAAGGCTCTGCGAAAAGCCATGGGCTACATCTACCATTTGTAGAAGCATGACACCAACAGGTTTTGCTCTTCATCTGTCCCTCTCTCTTTTGGAAACTAGCCAGCTCTGACTGCTCCACGTGCTGGCTGCCATTCAATAATGATGGGCAAGGAGGAGTATTTCTCTGGAAGGATTCAGAGAAAATAAAATAGGGTGCTCTGTTCCACAACAAAAGCTAATAGTAAAGTCAAGCCTTCTTTACCAAGGTATGTAATTTTCTCCTATGTTTCATATTAAAAGTATGTTCACATGACAAGCAAGTTGGTAACTATAAATTTATATTGCAAAAGTAAATACAAAGCATATTTGCCCATAGCAGGATGATACAGAAACATACTCAGAGCTAATACCTTGAAATGACAAAGATGTAGTAACCTATAACAGGTTTTTCAAGGTCCTACCTAATGTAGGATAGTCTAATCGCTAAGGTGACCATGTAAACCAGGAGGTTCAGAATGTTTTTCACTGATAAATCGATAGAAAGCACATAATTTGAGACAATTGGTTTAATATTTGGCTTACCTGCCAGCCCCAGGTTCTGTCATGGCGATAGCTCCAATGCACTTGCCTGCAACCATTTGGGGGATGAAGCGTTTAATCTGTTCTTCAGAGCCATAGTTTGCAATGTAGGGCATGACAATATCTGAATGAAGGCTGAACCCTGGGCCTGTACAGTTAACATACATTCTGGGGAAAAAAAGAGGTGGGGGGAAGTTCAGGAAAAAGTACTACAAAGACTTAAACACTGAACTCCACATCGTTACAACACAGATGCAACAATGAAGAAAATCCCACTACACAGAAGTCTCAGAGACTCTGAGCTTCTGATAGGAATTTCATTAAGATACTTGTACCATTATTTAAGGCACTGGTACCATTATTTATAGAATGTACTTTCACAGCCAAATGGGTACCAGGCTAAAAAAATACTTCCCCCAGCCAGTGGAGCACAATGACACTTGTTACTCAAACGGTGATCCGGAATACTTAAAACAAGAGGGATTTACATATGTGTAAACTAACCTTTCCACAAGAAAGAGAACTCCATTTTCTGTAAGCAAACATAATGAGGACAACTCATGGAAAAAAAAAATAGTCATCACTGAAATATTTCCTGAAGCATCTAGTACTCACTGCTCCTCCCAGACAATGGCTGAAGAGAGAATATCCGCTCCGATGCCTCCATGTTTTTCAGCAATAGCAACACCCAGCAAACCCTGATGTCCAGCCTTTTCCCAGAGCTCCCTGCTCACTTGGCCATCCTTCTCCCATCTGCAAAATGAACACAAGAACAAGGCCACACATTAAACCCCCACATGCTACTGTTTATTTGTCATGGCTGCTGCTTCACACTGGAACACTAACACACAGTGTGAGGGTACACACACAACTATGTTTCACAGCCAAGAAGCAGTGGATTAATCACAGGTTTTCTAATCTTCAAGTCCACAGATGCCACTGGCATTACAGGGGCACCAACTGTAAAACAAGTTTGAACTCCTGCTTCCAACATGTAACCTGACAGGAATTTCATTAAGACTTGTTATGACTGTTATACCAGACTGGTTTTTAGGAGATTTAGCCACAACCATCTGGATAATTACAAGCAGGTCTTTATCTTCACGACATTCCATTTTCCCCTGTACAAAATGAGTATAACACATCAGTATCTTTTGTGAAAGACTTCCACTCAGCCAATGAGAATTGCTTTATCAGAACCAAAATGCTATCATATTAGCCAATTTTATATAAAAATCGGTCCCTGTGCACTTAGAACAACTCATTACTGTATTTTGTGAAATTACTGCTTTAAGGTAGTTTCAAGTCTGTGTAAACAGATAGAGTTGAGGCTTAGCTGCTGACAGTTTGCAAACTTTAACACCATGGGAATCCCTCAATCTTAGAAAAATAGTTCCTCTTAATGGGATTTGCCAACTCAGTAGAAAGTTGGATAGCCATTAATGGTCCAGGTGTTTTTTTTAATGTCTTTTTCTTTAAAAACACAATTTTAAAATTATATGATAGACAGATTACATCGGAGACATTCCTCTGACACACCTGAGTGCAGCAGAGCTATATCACATCTCTTCTTCCACAGTTAATCAAGTATCTTATCCTACATATAGAATAGCATCACAGAATCACAGAATGGTTTGGGTTGGAAGGGACCTTAAAGGTCATCTTGTTCCAACCCCCTGCCATGGGCAGGGACATCTTCCACTAGACCAGGTTGATCAGAGCCCCATCCAACCTGGCCTTGGACACTTCTAGGGATGAGTGTTCACAGCTTCTCTGGGCAACCTGTTTTCCAGTATTTAAGCTTTCTAGTGTTTAAGCTCCATTCCAGAGCTTTTGCTCCTACACTGGAAATCTTACACAAATCTCTCTTGACCACCTTTGCTTCACCCCTCCCCTCACTTTCAGGGCCATTCCTGTCTCTACTTCACCCATCGCCAGAGCTTCACCTCCTCACAATAATCCACAACTGCATTCACTGATGCCACATTTGGCTTTTCACATCAGCCCAGACAATTAATATACTGTGCCTAAAGCCTCCTTGTTTACTTGAAAGGTGTGAGAACAGATCAGTTCATCAGTCACTGAAGTGATGCAAGAACAAAATTTCAACTTGTTCCAGCCTCTCTAAGAAACCCCTGCGTCAGCACGACAGCAAACAGGATCTTCAGCAACCTCAAGCAGACCCAGTACCTGTTTACAAACCTGCACCACAAGCCTAACAACAGACGAGGGAAAACGTCTGTTTTTGTGGACAGAATGTAAGTGCACAATGGAAGAGCATAGCATACTACTACAAGGCTGTGGTTTGAGGATAAAAAAAACTAGCTGCCACCAACCCTGCTGTAAGTCCTTTCCATTGCCTCCTGCTGTTCATTCTTGCCCCAGAGCCACAATATTCCACCCACTCAATTGTGAGCTGTATCAGGACATTCACCTAGCAGGGCAATTTCAGAATAAGCCCTTCACTACCCCCCACTGTTTTCACTTCAAGTAAAGATACTACTGAAGCTTAACACTTTCAGTTCACAACCACTTAATCCTCAATTTCTTTTCTTTCCCCAACTATAACTTGAGTGGATATAGCTAAAATAAGGGCTAAAACTACCCTCCAGCTCTAGTTCAGTGGAATTACAACACTTCTACTCTGTCCCATATTTCCACAGAAGTAAAAGTTACAGAAATTTAAACAAAGATGTTTTGTGCAAGTTTCTTGGTAATACATAATTCACCTTACCACTCTACGTGAACTTGTATGTTGTTACAAAATCTACTGCAATGTAACCTAGACACAAGATGAATGCCTTTTTTAGTTACATCAGCCCCATGGGAACTGAACTGTCCCCTAACTCCATCCAAGACACTGGTGTCAGAGTTAATCCTACAAAGCAGGAATGCTTTGCTGCAACTCTTGCAAACTGCATTTGTTTGCTCATAGGCCTAAGCTGAGGATGCCACACTGCCTACACTGGAGCTCAGAGGATGTGGCAAATTTTGATTACGTGTGATTTTTCTTCACGCGTGATTTTCACAGGTTTGTTTTAATTCACTAAATTCGAAATACAAAGCTTGTAAACAAAAACTAATAACCTGTTTATCTTGTCATATTAAGAGTCACACCGCAAAAAGCATTTTGGGGGAAAAAATGCATATCATTTGGCAAAACAAAATGTTTAAGAGGTTATCTTACTCTGCGTGAAAAGGCAGCACTTCTTCCTGAAAGAACTTCCTGGCACTCTCCCTGAAGATGTCATGCTCTGATGAGAAGATTCTCCGAGTGCCTATATCCATCAAAGTTTTAGCAGAAGATGGTTCCAGGCGCTTCGTGCCATGTTCTTCAGTTTGCAGAGGACTAAGAAAGACAAATGAAAGCATCTGTTAGGGCACAGGCACTCTATTTATGTTTACACTAAAAGAGAGGAAACACCTGTGTTGCTAAACACAGGTTCACATCCCAACTCTGGCACGCTGTTAGGTCCAAAGGATACGCAAGATAAATACAAAGACCTAAGAGACACTGCACTTCAGTGAGCTGTTAAAGGAGGTATGGCCAGACTAGCTTGTCCTCAACACTTCAAATAAATTAAAAACAATAATAATACATATATAGCTAAAATAATAAAGTTTCTGTTTATTAGAGATGCTAAAAATCATCGCTGCCTTCTCTCTCCCCCTGCCACACAACCTCCAAAATGCAATTCAGCTCATTTTAAACTGAGGGAATAGCTTTATGAGCAAGTGAACTTTTTTGGTGAATTTTGTTCATTCTGTACATGCCTCCCCAAAAGCCCCAAACTTGCAAACCCATGACGCTGAAAATTCACATACTCAAAATAAAAGTGAGTGCAGGGTGGATTTGCACGCTCCAAAGGATGTATTGTATTCTGCATTATCACATATACTTAACCTTGAAAGCAATACTTTCTAAATCATTCTAAATCTCGGTATTTTTGTTGTGCGGGAAGGCCGATCTTCACAAAACTCTGATAAAAACATACATAAAAATAAAATGCTGCTTTAACAAAAAAATAAAAACTGGAACAGTGGTGTCAGTAGTAGAAACCCCACAAGAAAAGTATAATTATGAAATAACAAGGAAGGGTTTATAAAGCTTTTGTAGGGGTTTAGAACATAAAGGATGACATAGTACTTGAAGGCTGAAATGAAAATTCAATTTATATTTGTGCATTGGATTCTTTTACCTGTTTTTATTTTATTGCCATAAAATATCAGAAATTTTAAGTAGAGCTGAGCTGTAGTAAATGGAAAAGGCATTCGCTGTTCCTTTCTCAAACCATTTTGTTAATCTCTCCTAAGTTCCTCAGCACAGCAACTGTGTGTAGTCCTGCAAAATTCAGCTGAGCCCACACTTATTTACTCTGTTATTGAGACGAAAGTCTTTATTTACTGCCACATGTAGTCACCCGGTGCAAAGGATTAAACACCCCAGAAACACACACTCTATTTATTTCTAATCGTATTTGTAAAAAAATGGATACAGCAACTTGAGTACTTTGTACCCCCAAAGCTAGGCACACAGTGACTCTCCCAAAAGCTCCACCTTATTTTTAACGCTGTTTAAGACGATGTTGAGCTTTCTTTAAGCCCCCCCCCTTATGTTTAATTGTGGCTCCCACCCTGCATGTCACACAGGGGAAGGGCCTGGCTGATCCCTTGCGCCAACCAAAGCCCTAGGAAAGACAACTCCAAGGCCGGGGAAGGTGTGATCACACTCCTGCCCTTCTGCCCCCTTCCCCGATCCCGAGCGCCTGATGCCACGGGGGAATGGTGTGCCCGGGCAACGAGGCGCCCAGCCGTCACCTTGCTGCCAGCACAGGACTCGCTGTCCCCAGGCCGGCCGGGAAAGTGGAGCAAAGGTTCGGGATATCGCGGGCGATGCGCTGGGGCTCCCGGGACCCGCCCGGCCGGGGGATCCCGGACCCGCCAGGGACTCAGGCGGGAATTACAGACAACAAAGAACAACACAGAACTAGAACCTCCTGCAAAGGCGAGGACCGACCGCACACGTACACATTACGCCTTTATATACACACACAGTGCCTGCAACCCTCCTGCCACACGTACAGAGCACACGCATCCACACCCCTCCGAACGCACACGGATGCGCACACCCGCCACACACACGTATGCATACAGAATGTGCGCACATACAGCTATACGGCCCCATCAACCCGCATACACGCCCCCCCCCACGTAGATGGGCAAAGACACACACCGCGCTCTCTAAGGAGCCCAAACTCGGGGCGCCCTTCCACCCGCCCTCGCGGTGCTCCCCGGCGGGATTCCCCAGGCACCACGGCCGGCCGCGCTCACCTGGCCCGGGCAGAGAAGGGCCGGCGCCGGGGACCCGCAGAGCCGAGCGTAGCGAAAAGTAACCGCGCCGCCATCTTACGGGACAGGGCGGGGCAGCGCGCGGGCGCACCGCCCGCGCGTGCGGCGACGGGGGGCGGTCCGAAGCGCGGCGCTCTGTTATGTGCGATTGTTCAGTTATCTGTCCCTTGCTTTTCGTTTGTCGCCGTCTGGTTCTGTCAGCGGTGCTGCTCTGCTTGCCCCGCGCGGAGGGTCATGCTGCCCAAAGCCTCTAGCAACGCGCACCCCTGTAATTATCCTTGCTCCCGCCTACCCGCCGTTGTAAATCCCTTCCGTGTTTAGAGCGGGATTACGGTGAAACGTGTATGATAAATATTTTTCTCATGTAGCTCTGAAGTCACGTCCGGGAGGGGAGCGGGAGCAGGGGTGACAGAGGTTTGTGGAGCGAACCGCGTGGCCCCGCCCGGCCGCGCCTCCGTCCTCCCCCTCAGCACCCTCAGGGACGGGGCCGTCACCAGGTCACCCTCCCGAGCCGCGTGAGAAGCCGGGCCCCCTCCCCTGACGGCTGCCCCTCATCGGGCATTTTGGTCATTGTGCCTTTAGCCCACGTTGATTTTTGAGTGCTCCTACCCTCGAGGAGGTGGTTTATGATCACTGCTGTGCGTGGGTTTCCGAAGGGTGGAGCTGTTGTCCTGAACGTTACCCATCACGTAGCACCAAGTCGCACACTGAGGCGAGGTATTTCTATCTTTTTTATTCTAGTTTGCGCAAAGTAGGGACCTAGGTGGCAACCCACAAAAGGCTAGCTCCCCGGTCTTCAAAATTTTACACTATTTATACATTTTAAAAACCGCATACATTTCGTTACATGACCTTCTTATTAATACGTACTCAACCCCCTATTTGCTAGTTATACCTCTTGCTCATTAGTGCCTCATGCACAGTTCTTCTCTCCATTGCAGTCTGGAGTCTGTTTTGAGTCCATGAGTAGGTGGTCGTGATCTCCCACTGACAGAATTACCTTTCCCCCAGTTACTTCAGTGCTCATAACTGTACTGAAAATAAATTATATTTTGACTCAAACCCTTATTCAGATCTTGAGGAACTCGATATCAAGGGGGCATTACTTTAAGAAAAAGGAAATCGCTGGAGGTGGGGGAAAGGATAAAGGTTTAACAGTCTGCTTGTCATTCTTTGTCCCTCCAGCTCCTGTGGTCACCCTGCTGCATGGGGCACAGCCCCGACAGAGAATCCTTTTCCTGAGTCAGCCATCTGGGGAGAGTTTTGAGCTGCAAATGGGCATCTTTCACTGAGAAAGGAGCTCCTACACGCTTCTTTTACCAACAATACCGTAAGCTACAAATTGATAGATTAATTATAACTGATATCTAGAAAATAGGCATTACCCATCATCATTATGATTAATATGGGGTTAAAACAATGTACAGTCCCCATCAATGGGATTTTACATGCTTTCCTCGCTTCCCGTGTGGTGTTATGGAACCCTCAGAAATTATCCTCTGGAGTCATGAGATTACATGAAAAATTTAAGCAAAAAGGGAGTTTTAAGCCTTTGTGAAGTAAGATAATACACAGGTACCCCCGAAATGCCAGGCAGAGGAAGGATTGTAGGAAAATTTATTTCCAAAGTTGAGAACACTAGACTTCAAAGAACATTACTCTTAAGGGTGTTTCAAATACTGAGCCTGAGGAAAGACACACCCTGTGTTCTTCTCAGGGCTTTTATTATCCCTGGACCCCACTCTGTGGGGCCTTCGACATGTCTGCAAGACTTACCTTTTTCTCCTACCAGGGAGCGTTTCTCTGGAATGCAGGAGGAGAAAACGTCTAAAACTCTCTTTGGGAAAGATACCTCTTCTAGGCAGAAAAGTCTTCCTATGCAAAACAAACTCTGATCTCCTCTCCATAAATCTTCTGTAAGGGTCTCTTACAGCCTTGGTGTTTGTTGAGAAATAAAAAAAATGCTGACAAGATTGTAATGGCTGAAAGCACAAAGCAGATTAGCTCAGAAGATATTTTTCATTTTAAGCTAATACTTTATTGGGAGGAGAATTGTACAAAATCTGTTGAGAGAATGCCCATGGTTCGTATGTTTTTTTATATTGATCCATAGTCTAAACTAAGTTGTAAAGTTTTTTCAGTGTATACGTATAAAAAAATCTTTCATTTGATCAGTGCTGTTTTCAACTATTGTGTTCCTGCACCCTAAGCCAGGAGATGGCACTACAGGAATTCCTATGGATGGGCCTACCTGAAAGCAGCCTAGCCTCTCTAAGGGCATGTGTGTTTTTAGTGTGACATACTGGCAATGCACAGAGTTGTCTGTCTGTCTGTAGTTACAGGCAGAAGCACCTGCATTACAAAACCAGTTGGAGCCTGGAAACTTGTGCTATTTTTTCATTTTGGAGTCTGATCTCATATTATTATATCAGAGTAGGCAGGAGGGAACCATGCAGGGGCAGCTGGGAGAGAAGAACTGAATGGGAGTTTGGTGGGAATTACTGCATTTGGATGCCCAGAGGTAAAATCTGGCTATGCTTACGAGGCCCTGTCAGGTACAGCAGCCTCTTGGGAAGTGCCTTCCTTACACTGGTATAGGCTCCTGGGTGAGCCCAGCACTTTGGTCTCAGATCTGTTAGCAAACAGGAGGCTGATAAGGAGATTCCCATTCCCAGAGATGCCAGGTCACCCCGTTTGCAGTCTTGGCAGCTTTGCTGTAGCAAGAAAATCTAGCAGGACATATCCCATCACCCACACACAGGGTGAAGGGATAAGGGAGCTGAGAGATGGTAGATCCTGTCCTAAGCCACAGAAAAGTAAACTTTGTCCAGGTTTCAAGTATCGGTTCCTGGTATCAGGAAATGCCTCAAAACAGACAGTGGCTAGCAGACTGACATTTTGCATACCATTTTTGGGGGGGAAGAAGTGTGGGTATAAAGAATCAGTTATTAAGAACGATGGAAGGTTTTGTTTGTTTGGGGGTTTTTGAGTTTTTTTTAAATGTTCTTGCAGAAAACAGACTTGAATTAGACAGTGCAGCAGGGCAGAGTGCAAATGCATTGTTGGCCTTATAGATGCTGTTTCCAGCTTGGAATTGTGCTTTTCTTGCAACAACCTAATGGAACTTTAATGAGAGACAGCATAGCCTGGCATAACTGACAGTGCTGTACTCCTTCCTCGTGCAGTCTGGTCCCTTCACCTCCATTCCTCCTGTGGGTAAAGTCACAGACTGAGCCTCTAATTCTTATTTTCCACTGTTCTTGGTGACTCCTTTCTAACCTCTGGTACATATGGCTCAGGAGAGGGATATGGTTTGCCCTATGTTATTGGGTGCAAATTCTCCCAAATTAGTAGTTCTCCTGCTGTCATATTGCATATTTAGCAGGGGAATTTTCCATTTGAGACTCCCAACTGCTCAGATCTCTGTTACTTTGTGGTAAACACTGTGCCCCCTATCATACCCAGCACTTGCAATATCCACCCGTCTGGTATTAGAAGTGTTGCCAGTATAATGTGCAAACACCAAGTCAGTGGGCTCCCCTGCAGTGTGTTACTGCCCTAATCTGAAAACTTTGTGACATCTGGGCTTTGGTACAAGTTGGTTTGGTTGAGCAATGTCTTCTGAGTCACCCTTTATGTTCCTTTTTTTCACGATTTTCAATGTTAATACATCATTGCTACAGCTGGAAAGAACTTATATTCAGTGCCTTCTTTGCTGGGAACAATGTCTAACATGTTTACCATTGTGCATGTAATTTAAAGCATTATCTTACTGAAAAAAAAAAAGCACATGGCCTTGCTAAATACAAAGTTAGCAAATAAAGGTAGGTGGCCTAGAGGTTTGGTTAGCCATGAATAGCCTAGAGGTTTGGTTTCTGAATAGGTTATTTAAAGTTGATGTGCTGTCTTTTTTCAAGAACAGAGTGCCAATTTAGCATGTGTGCCCATCATCAACTTTTTAATGTTGGCATTATAGTGCAGGGCAAGCTGGAATAAGATGCAAAGCTCTCAGCTTACTCTGCCCTTGGTATGCAACTCTCCTTAGCGTGCCTCTGCATGGGGTCACACAGTGTCAGTCATGTGGGTGTGAGACGATGTGACAGAGAGACATGGGCTGCAGCTGATGTGTGTGCCTTCCAGTGGGCCTCCTCAGGGCAGGGGCTCCTGGTAACCAGCTCCCGTTCCTCTGTCCTGGCAGAGCACAGGCTGGCAGGAGAGCCATCTCCTCCAACATGTGCCTTGGAGCACCAGAAATGTCCCACAGAAAGATTCTCCAAAGCCTGCATATGAGGTCCAGCAGTAGCTGGGAATCAGCAAGGGAGAGGCATGTGGGAGTCAAGTGTGGGAGTCTCATGACCTGAGAACATGACTTGAAGGTCTGAAGGTGATGGTGGCAGGTAATATCTTACCATGGGACACATTTTGGTTTTGCCAGGTCTTTTAATATGAAACCTCAAAGTAACATGTTTTAAAAGGGTTGTCAGTCTAGGATGCTGGCCTGAAACCTGTGCAGACATGTCTTTCTCTGTTAGGTAGCTGTCAGCAGTTTTCAGCATGCAGCAGTGCTGGTTTGGAGCAGGATTGTACGAGTTCTCAGTAAATTATTTCAAAATCCTTCTACCAAAGCTCAAGAGCAGCAGTTGCAGGGAGTGCTCCCAGTGAGGATGAAAGTTACAGACTGAAGTCCTGGTTTCCTCTGTAGGGAGAATTTGTTAAGTCTGGCACCAAAGAAGGAAACTTCAGCTACTCACTCAGGTGTTCACCCATCTGCATTGACTTTAGCATGTGGCACAGGGTGAAAGCTCTCAAAGAGGGCTATGAAGAATTCAGCAAAGTTTGTCTCTTGATCAGAGCTGTTGTCCTGCAGACCATTAAAAATGCACTTGATTTTCAAGCAACATGGGTCAGAGCACCAGTTTGTAAAAGGCACAGAAAGGCACTTGCTGATCACAGCAGACATGAATATACTTATGGTGTTGCTGAAGGTTGAAAGCATTGCATGAAACAGGGCTGTGCTAATAAGGCATTACCTCCCAGAAAAGGGCTGCTACATGTGTGTGTAATCAGTATTATTGTTGCTTTAGGATGAAACTATACTTCTGTACTTCTTATTATATCAGAATCAAAATGAATGGTATGCTGTGTGGTGGCATTAAGCACTCCAAATAGTGTTTTAAGCTACCTCTGTTCAAGCAGTACTGATGCTTACAGCTTCAGACTTCTTGTTCCTTATTGGTTTGGTCTTTGGGAGAAAGCTGCTCCATTCGGCTGGTTTAATAGAGCTCAAATGATAAAGACAACGCTGAGATCAGTCCTCATGAACTACTTTTTCTTCAGAAGTGCCAAGCAACTTTGGTGCCAGGGCTTGCCAGTCCTAAAATCTGTTGCTTTTCTGCTCTTTTAACACCTTTTTTTTTTTTTTTTAATGTGCAGAATACATTTGTATTGTTTCATGCACCAATTATTGGGGGTTTAGATACAGTAGCTCTAATGAGCTACTCGGTTGAAATCAGCCTAACTTGGACCTTAGCCAAAACTCTTCTCACCAGTTCAGAGTTGGTGGTGTGAAAGGAGACTGAGAATTCTCTGTTTAAGCCCCTGGTATGAAATCATTCACATGCTTTTTGCTAATTTTGTTAGACACTGAGACCAGGACCTGTTTTTCAGCTGTGGCTGGACTTATTAGTGCAGGTAAAAAGAAAATGATGTTTTCTTATCCCCAGTTCAGCAAGGGGTTGGGAGGGAATTTGCCTGTGTCTCAGAAAGTGGCACCAAATTTGGCAGGAATAGCATGACGCAAGCTTCTACTGAAATTAATGTAATTGATGTGTAAAATAATGTGATGGGTTTAATCTACACCGAGGAAAGAAGGTGTGGATTAAAAACAGGTGCTCCACTGCTTCCAAGAGCCTGAATTAGCCAAGCACCACACTTGCACAGGTGCAGGTGTTGAGCTCAGAGGAAGTAGAAAGGCATGTTGGGATGGCTGAATTCCTACTGTGGTGATTAGTAAGGCTGCTTTGTGTCTGTGGGGCTGTGACTTGAGCTGATGCAGATACTGGCCTGCCCTCCTTGTGGAGCTTGTTTCACAACCTCAGCAAATGTGCCAAAAAGGTAAGAAAGTTCTGCTCTTCTGAAAATGTGTTCTTCTGTATGGCCTTCACATGTTCACATACGTGTTTAATCAGCTGTTGTTTTTTATTCCATGGGGGACGTGCAAGAGGTACAGTAAGAGCATCAACCCTTGCTCTGAAGATCAGATATGTTCCTGAATGACCAAGGAACAGACCAGAGGAAACTCTGGAAGTTAAACAAAGGCAGAGATGTTTT